AAAGAGAATATGTATGAGGTATAATACGGAGACGACGAATGTATTCGTACTCACTTGACGGAGATCTCCACCTGACTCGATCTCTATATCCTCCGACTCATCGTCCTGAGGTTTGACGCCAGTTTCAGTCTTCAATGAGGGCAGTGGTGGGCGTTTCTTCAGCTTGAAGTAGTGCAGAAACATGCACTGATCCGAGGGATACTCTTCCTGAGCACCGGCGAACTGGTCCTCCCACGGTCCGAAGGAAGGGTCAGCGTCCACTTCTCTGGAACGTCGTTGGTCCATGTCATTTGCACGACCCTTCTCTTTCTTCTTTTTGCTTCGCGGACTCTGAGCCTGGGTAAGACTTGGACGCTCTTCCAGTTGAGCAGGCCCCAGAGGTCTGTTCGGATTCAATCGAGGACGGTTGTCTGGCCCTATTCGAGGGAGACATGTCGCAGCTGTCTCTCTCTGCGTCTCAATCCGAAATGCGGCAGAGACAGGCAGTCCCAAGTCGCCGTTGAAGGTAAGCTTCGCATGCCTACTGTTACCGAAGAAGGCTGCGACGGCCCAACGACTCGTTTTGACCCACCCTCGGACGAAGAGTATGTCTTCGATAGCGACGCTGTAACCTACCTCATCTGAGTTCGCCCAGCGGTGCCAAGTATCTATGTTCTCCTTCATATATTTGGCCATCCGGCGAGTCTGCTGCACGAGTTCACGCTTTCCGGGGGTATCGAGGATGGCCAACGCGCCTTGTTGGTCGGTACATTCGCATTGAAAGGCGACGTTGACGCCGTGGCTGTGAAATGAGTTCGATCAGAGAGCGCCACACATTACTGAAGAGCCACTTACGATCCAGCTCCGCCTCCTACCTCGAGACGACGGACAGTTTGACTGAACAAGGGACCTTCATTGATGACATTGTTTGCTGTGATGATTGGTATCATGCCGAGTTGGAATTTCTTGAAATTCGGAGGGACGGCAATATGTATACTGTCCTCCGCCTCCCTCATCGCATTAAAGAAGCGGTAGAAGCCTCCTTGACCAAGAAATCCGACATCGCCGATTAGTACCTCGCCTTGCCCGCGCGCGTTCTTCGGCTCGGGCTCCCATAGAGGATATCCCAGCGCAAGCTTGAAGAGTTGTTGCGCGTACACATCGTGCGCAGTTTCAGGCATATTCGTTTCGTTATCTCTGTCAGAGAGGTGTGAGGTGTGAGGTGTGAGGTGATGTGAGGGTACGATATTCGATTGTGACTCACAGTATGTTCTCTCTAAGGAGCCAGCTACTAGATGTTCGCCGGTTTGGGTATCCAGCCTTATATCGATTTTGGGGTCGCTCATGGTTTCGGTGTTCGTAGAGCCTGGAACAATAGCAACCTTGGTCACGCATACGTTTCGTGTGTGAAGCACTAGCGGTTGCGACGGTCTGTGTCAGCATTATGTGTACGGCGGCCAATTGAAACACTGCCTGCATACCGATCAAGAGATCACCAGCAGTAAGCAATTCAAAACGAAGACAACGAGGTTGCACGCCTGCAAGGGAAAGTCGTACATGAGACATGTCACGGAGATTATGTGTATGCTCATCCGAGTGGTCACTTGAGGGCGACAGTCCTTCAGTGAAGTGTATGCTGTCGTCATCTGTATTGTCGGATCCCATGGCGGTTTCCATGCCTATCTCCTCGCTTCAGTAGTTCCTTGCGATACCCAATGATCTCGCACATACTTGCATATTTTAGTACACTTCTCCAATGATATATCATCGATTGCGACTGGTGCTGAGTCGGTCTTCACATGCATCACGTTTCACTCTGCTAGCCCTGTAAACGAGGGACTCAGCATAGCACTCAACCCCAGTACGCAGCACGATGGACACTGACCCTGAAGCTCCACTCGCATCGCCGGCAGCTCCCATTTCCGAACAGTGCGGTCGTCTGAGGCGGACGCGAGATACTCGTCATCGCGAGAGAAGACGAGGTAACACTGTCCGCTCAAGCGCACGACCTCCAGCCTCGCCAAGTACTGTGTCGCAGACAGTGATGGCGTACTCCAGGCCGACGGTGACGAGCAGACGACCATTCGTGAGGAGCATCGTGCTCATGGCACCCTTCATCCTGTCGCCGTGGTCGATGGCGTGGAGCGGCTCGGCGGGGAAGGAGTTATGCGTCTTGATGACTCGTTCGCTAACCACAAAGTGCCGCTTCCTGCCGTCTACAGAGAACGTAGTCGCCCGCACCGAGCCGCCTCCCCCCTCATTCAGCGTCATGAGCTCATCTCCGAGTAGCGTGGTCCAGACCCTGGTGGTCCCGTCGTTCGCGCCTGCAACGAGCCTCCTCCAGTCGGGAGAATGCGCCATGGTGTTGATGGTCCCTCTGTCTCCCTGCAGATCGCAGATGTGCGCCGCCGTGTATCTGTCCCACACGTGCGCGGTGGTTTCTGCGCATGTAAAGAATTGGTCGTTCCTGGGTGAGAAGACGACAGCCGTGATGGTCCCGTAGTGTTCGTCAGTCAACGCATGCAAGTTCTTCATCTCCACATCCCAGAGCTTCACAATGGAGTCCGCCGTGGAAGCGATTACCACCCCGCCAGGCGAGTATGCGGCGCAGCTGACGGTGTCCTGATGAGCATGCAGCGAACGGATCATCCGTCCTGCGACGAGGTCCCATATAATGACACGCCCGTTGCGCTCTTCAGAGATGAGTGTCCCCGTCTGGAGAGAGGGAGAAGCAGGAGACGGCTCCGGTGTGCTCTTGCAAGCGGTGTCGAATCACGTCTCGTCGCATTCCAGACAACGACAGTCCTCGAGTCCCACGACGATGTCCCTCCCCATGGGTGAGTATGCGAGCGCGGAAACTCCATCTTGACATTCGCCATCGGCGGGCGCAGGGAAGCGCAAGACATGCGTGTCTGGTTGGTATACGTTGTTGACATTGTTTGCATCTGCTCCAGCGTACATTCCCCTGGGACGTCCGGGGCCTGTTCGGTGTTGATCGTGCGAATGGTTCAGTGGGTAGTATTGGTCCTGTTCCAAAGATATTGTCATGCTTGATCGCATCCAGTGGATAGAAACATACCAAGGACAAGCGTGGTGCTTCTAGTGTCTCCAGTTTCCTCGAAGCCTTGGCGGAGTTGATTGCACTTGACCTATTGGCAGGCGACATCGAGCGAATAGCAGTCGATTATGCAGTCTGCGGCATGCGACTATACACCGAGTCCTCAACGTCAGAACTCGAGGGTACAGGATGTTAATGCTATGCCGGCACTGTCAGTCAATGTCCACCTACAGCTGTGTCCCGGCCCGGGGAGGTTGGGCGGTGTTGCATGAGCGATGACGGGCATTGAACATTGTAGCTAGACGTGGTGACCTGATAGCATCTTCGCCAAATCCGGCATGAGTACGGGCTATGAACCGTAACACGAGAGATGCAAAACCCCTCGCCGTTCGTGTTGGACCACCTGCTCTGTGGTTATGGCGCGTCGCAGGCTCCAGTACACTGCCAAGGGGACGTCGGGACGTCAAATCGCCACAGCGGCAAGCAAGTGCAACGCGCCGTCGGTGAGCGTGGACTTCTTCACAAGAATTCAGATAGGACGTCCAGTTCGCTCTAGTCGTTTCGTGCTTAGCACAGGGCTGATAATTCGTAAGTCACACGCCGGAACTAGGGTACAGGAAGACTCTGACCTGAATGCCACGAATGGGCTATGATAGCCGCCGCAAACGTAGGTGCGCCCGCAAGGACCCGCGCATTGTTATGTCACAGCAACTAGCAGTGCCAAGTTCCATCCAGTTCGCCTGTATGTACAGAGGTAAGTACTACGGACTCCGGCGCACTGCGATGTCTGGAAATAGCTGTTACGACGACGCCGGCGCTGTTCCGCCTCGGGCTCAGTTACTACTTACTCAGATTCCGGAAAACAACTTGATGCCATACGCGACGGATTGTAAGTACTGATTCCTGCAGACCGAGCACGATGCATGATGACGAGCATTGTTGACGAGTTGTTGACGAGGATCGACCTGGATCGACGTTGGACGAGCACCGAGCGGCGTATGTCAGGGTGTACACGTGACCTTGGTGCACGCGCGTCAGGAGTCTGAGGACCCAAGAATGGAACTTGTCAGTGAGTCGTTCAGTTCGCCTGGTTCCTCGCCATGTCTTGCCGAACCAGCTCATACACGCCGCGTGTTTTCTCAGTCAATTTTCCGTATAACATTCGTTTCTTCACTATCTGAAATTGACAGCTCACAATCATCTGTTAGACCGTGACGGGCTGCAAGTCAGACAACACTGGCATGTCCCGACGCGACGCAGTCCTTAGCTGGGACAGCTTCTACCCACAAAGCCGAGTTTGCGAAGTGGGCACGGTCGCAAGGCTTGATTGCGTCCGATATCGGTAAGTCAGATCCGGTCAATATTCATGACACGTCGAGTGGTCTACTAGGCCAACATGTATTGCGCGGCATTGAACTCGAACTCAAGCTTCATCTCACAACCTTGCTATGTAGCGGTACGCTACCTCGCTCGTATGTCTGCCAGTCCAAGGACCGGCATGGCACGATGATGACTCAAGAGCTCCGTGTCGACTGTATCTAAATCATCTAGCGTTGGTCACGGCGATCGAATTGACGGGCCGTCCCCTTGAGCTTGAGTAAAATCCCCCGTCCGCGGCCATGCTTCGAATTTCCCAAACTTAGTTGGCTGTTGCTTCCCCGACAACGTGTCTACCGCATGTCAATATGTGTGTCGTCTACAGTGGCTAGGACGTTGACGTGCGGGCTCGTCTCGTGGCCTTGTATGTTTCTCCTTTGGATCGCGCACATCTACATCTATGGTGGCGGTTCGGCGGATGCTCAAATACTCTTGCTTACATCCAGTCATGGCCAGTATCAACTGATTACAGGGCCATCCAGTACTGTTCATCTCGTTCTTCGATACCTCGTACACACATATCTGTTCGTCCACCTGCCAAGCACGGCTTATATCTAGCGCCTTCGTGCGTGTTCGAGGATTCTCGTCAGCCTTCAGTCGCGAGGTGCATCTCGGTAGCCTCATCAAATAGTGTGCCGACTATGAAACTCATGGTCAACACCAGCCAACCAGTGTTACTTTATACGACTCACGTCCATCCTCAGTGACGTTAACGGGAGGCTTGGTTTCCCTCAAGAATTTCGGTATATCATCAGGAATTGGGTATCCATCGTCAGATCGACCCTGTAGTCCCCCGTGAGTTCAACGATGCCGAGAGCTAAACAAGAACGACGTACCTCACACAAGCGTATCAAGTCTAGATCACTAGCAATCGCGACATTCACTTTGGGATTCTGCGTTCGACGGTGAGATACGACATCAGTTCGAAGTGCACCCTGAACTAACCTTCAATATGTAGTCCAAGATAAAATTGACAGGGTCGTATGGCTCGGGCTAACAAGACATGCATGAGACATGTGACAAGCGACATATGTATTCATACTCACTGCGGGATCGGAATCTCTTTCAACTTCATCACGCAGAGCAACATCAGGGTCCTCCTCCTCCTCAGGGGGAGCCTCTTGCACACTGGCACACTTCTTCATCTTGAAGTAGTGCAGAAACATGCATACATTTGAGAGGTTCCCTGAGTCTTCGTCCATCGCCCTAAGATGTCGCGGGCTGCCACCGTCTGTCTGAGGAAGGTTGCCTACCGGCGGCCATACTCTAGCACAGCATCCAGGAGGTGTGTATTCTTCCTTGTCATCAAGCAACTGGGAAGAGTAACCAGGGCCTACATCACCGATGGACTTGTACTTCACATTCCTACAGTCATTGAAGAAGGCCACGACAGCGCAACGACTGGTTTTGACCCAGCCTCGAACGAACAGCAGCTTCTCGATGGAATCTACATTCTCAGGCGCATCCCCATTCTTGTCTGTGACCCAATGGTGCCAGGTGTCTGCATTCTGCTTCAAGTGTTCCACTATCTCGGGAGCTTGACATACGAGTTCGTGCTTGCCAGGCATACCGAGGATAGCCAACGCGCCTTGGTCTTCAGTACATTTGCATTGAAAGGCCACATTGGCGCCATGGCTATGAACAGAGTTTAATACGAGTGAAATGCACACCGGTAAAAAGACACTTACGATCCTGCCTCACCTTCCACGACACTTTGACTGAAGAGGGCTCCTTTAGGGATGGTATTGGCTATTGGTGTCGATGTGAGATCCAGTTTTTTGTATTCCGGAGGATCATACGGTTGTGTACTATCCTTGGCATCTCTCGTTGCATTGCAGATACGAAAGAATCTTCCCTCTTTCAAATATCCGACATCGCCAATCAGTACCTCGCCTTCTTCTACCCCGGGTTCGGGATCCCATAGAGGATAGCCTAATCCTCGCCTGAAGAGCTGTTGCGCATACACGTTCCAGTGGCAGTCAAAACCTTCCATTCGGCTACGGGTGAAATCTGCGTACTGTAGAGTGTGAAGTGAATACGAGCGCACGGTATTTGAATGTGGCAGACTCACATGTGTGGAGTATCGAGTGCCTAAAGTGGGCTTCAGAAAGCCGGATATGTCGTTTGGGTTGGCATAACCAACCTTTTAAATGATTCGACAGCCACTCATGTTCCTAGGTTGCATAGTTTAGAACAATAGCAATCTATCATGCAAACGTGTATCAGGTCCAGAACCGCATCACTCGAAGGTAACTACAGACCTGAAACAGTGTCTTGTACACGGTGAGATACTATATCACTTACAGACGAACACAGAACCACATAAATATACCTCCAGACATAGTCCCAGGACAAAAGAGCAGGGTGATACGGCTTCGAACGCACAACCTCCACGAAACACTTACATGTGTACCCCTATTGTCTTTCGGATAGGGACGAATGCCGCCAGACACGAGTCGCTTGGGTATGTGTATGGTGCGCTCAGAAATAGGCGAGTTAGGTCGCTGAGCGGAATACCAATAGAGTGAAGCTGCACTCTTACAAAAGACAACCGAAGCTTGTCATTAGTCCTGGCTCGCCCTCAATTCAAAGTGAATGGTGATTTCGATCATGTCAGACGTACTGTATGGCTTGACTCGGTCAAGCTTTTGGTCTGCTTCCTACCGGGACTGAAAGCGAAGCTTGGAAAAGTCATCCATCAATTCACCGAAACTTCGCGTGCTGTCAGTGGGTTCGCCGTCTTGTACGTCCGTGGATATGGCACGTCACAGTGCACTGCCTGACTGATACCGGGTCATCACAGCAGCGAGCAAGTGTGGGATGCTATCAGGGTGCGTGAAGCTCCACAAGAATGCACACGGGACGTCCATCCGACTCCAATCAGCCCTAGTCGCTTCGTGCTCAGAGTTAGCAAGTCGCGGGCAGGACCAGGGTACAGGGAAACACTAACATAAGAGAGCTTTCATAGTAGCCTCAGGAGTGGGCGCGCCCGCAGAGACCCGTGCACGAGATTATCAGTACTGGCAGTGCTTCCGCGACTGTACAGAGGTCTCTGAACATAGCCTTTACGACGACGTCGCCGTTCTGCCTCTTAAGGCACGCGATCGCGGCGCGCACGCACGCTCAGCCGCAATAGCGCCTAGCTGAGGATAACTTACAGAGGTCAGAGGATATACACTGACAGATTTGTTTGTTGTACTTACCTCACTTCCGAGTCTGGCATCGTTCGTGCCCGCCGACGTCGTGATCATTCTTTGCTTGTCCTTTGGCCTCTGATTTCGGAAGGTGTAAGCTCCATGCTACATAAAAGGTGTGATTAGTGATCCTATGCCTGTAGTACAGCGGGGATGAGCACAGTGAGGACCGTAACGGCGACTTGCGACTCCGAGCTCGGAGGAGGCCCGGCGTCGGGCGAGCGCTGGGCGAGCGTCCGCAGTGGGGGTACACGTGATCGTGGCGCAGGCGATCTCGTTCTCGAAAATGGAATTCGGCGCCTGTGGCTATCGCTCGATGACTAAATGATGTATCCCCCCCTCCTCCTCCTCCTCCTCCCTTCTGTAGTCGTCTGGTTATGCGAATTGTTTGACTCTGCCCCTTCACCACGTCCGAAAAGTACTTATATATGCACGTCGCGCTCCTCCTCAGTCGACGTTCTGTTTACTCACATTCCTTGTGCTCCTTGCTTTCTGGCGCCGACAGCTTTCAATCAAATCATCTACATAAGTATGTAAAACGAGACACTCTGGGATAGTGGCTGGCCAATCGCCGTCTCATTACTTTGTTTGTTTCCCCCTTGCATTGCACACATCTATGACTGGCGTTGTTCGACGACTATCCTATTCCACACTATCCAATCGTAGCGAAGTTCAACTAGTCCGAGTCAAGGCCATCTGGTATCATTCGGCTCGTTCTGTGAACCTCACACATACATAGCTACTCGTCCATCCACAGCGTGAAGCTTGCATCTGGCGCCTTTGCGCGTTGTTTGACGACTCCCGTCAGTCCCCTTCATCCACCCGGTAAATACTGCGGTCAGTCCTCAGTATTCCCATATGCATTACAGCCACTTACGTCTAAGCTGTCGTCGTCACCAGGGCAGGGAGCTCCCATTTGCACACCGTACCGTCATCCGATGCAGATGTGATATGCCTGTTGTCGTGGGAGAAGGCGAGGTAGTTCACGTTGTCGGTGTGCCCGGGCAACTGAACAACCTCCTGCTTCGTCGCCATGTCCCACACCGTGATGATGTGGTCCTCACCACCCGCGGCGAGCAGACGACCATCCGCAGAGAACGCGGGAGCCATAGCGACCTTGTCGCCGCCGTCGATTGTGTCGATCAGCTCGGCCGTGAAGGAATCGTACGTCTTGATCACCCGCTCACTGCCGACAGAGTGAAGCTCTTTGCCATCTGCAGAGAACGCCGCCGCCCACACCGAGCCGCCTTCGCCTTCGCTCAGCCTCGCGAACTCATCTCCAATCAGCGCACTCCAGATCCTAGCGGTGCCGTCGTCTGCGCCTGTGACGAGCCTTCTCCCGTCGTGAGAATACGCGATAGTGTAGATGACTCCCTCATGCCCTTTCAGATCGCAGACATGCGACGCGGTGTGGGTGCTCCATACGCGTGCGGAACCATCCGAGCTCGTAGACACGAATCGTTCGTTGTCGGGGGAGAACACGACGTACATGATAATCCCGCCATGTTCCTCCGTCGTCCCGCGCAGGTTTCCGGTCTCGGCCTCCCAGAGCTTCACGACCGAGTCGGCGCCGGAAGCAATCAGCTTTCCGTCCGCCGAGTATGCAACGCGCTCGACGGCACCCTGGTGGGCGTTGAGCGACCGGATCGACCCTCCGTCGATGAGGTCCCAGATGATGACGCGCCCGTCGCGTCCGCCTGAGACCAGCTTGCTCCCGTCTGGAGAGAAGACGAGGGAGGAGACGGTATCGCTATGCTCTTCGAATTGGAAGCGCACAGAGCGATTCATCGCAGTCCAGACGATGATGGTGTTATCTTCGAACCCGGCAGCGATCTCCCTACCCACAGGCGAGTATGCGAGCGCAGAGATCCCACCTCTGCGCTGTTCGCTGCTCAGTGGAGGGAGCGGCAGAACGTGATACTGATCTCCGAGCTTCCATTTGTCCTCGTCGCGGCTGCTCGGAGGAGTTGCAGAGTTGATATCAATTGCTCCTGCTCCTGAGTCAACCTGGCTGGTATCGCTGGCTCCGGGACCAGACACTGCGGAATCCCCTCGCCTGCCTCCGTGATCGTCACCTGCTTCCTTGTGTGGAGTGGGTTCAGTTGATGTGGTGTTCAAGGATCCCGCTGTTGGTGCGCTAGGCAACGCATCTCCAGCCTTCGCACTCTCCGCGATGTGCACCGCAGTGTCATCATCAATAAATTGTAAGAGTCCGACTAAGAAGACCATAGTGAGTACAGGTAGCGATGCGTGATTGAAACAACACTCACGCCCATCCTCAGTCACTTCAATGTCTGGCTGAACTTCCTCCAGAAAGCGCGGTATATCATCAGGGATGAGCTTAGGACGATCCTCGTCAGATCGACTCTGCAACCCTCGTGAGCTCAAGTTGTTCTGAACAGCAACAGTGACAGCCGACCTCGCACACGCGAATCAGGTCAAAATCACTTGCGATGGCGATCTTGGCTTCAGAGTGCTATGATCGACCGTTAGGTAGTTGAAACATCAATTCGAAGAGAGATGGTGAACTTGCCTGCAATATGTAGTCCAGGACGAACATCACAGGGTCGTATGGCTTCAGAATAAAGTATCCATACATGAGATGAATCATTGATACTAAGACGACGTATCCGCCCTTACCATCTCTCGAGGGGGGATCTCCTCTATCAACTCCATAGCATCCTCCGCATCACGGTCCATGGACGGGTCCTGAGGCTCAGCCGCAGCTTCAATCTTCGTAGGAAGTAACAAGCGTTTCTTGGCTTTAAAGTAATGCAGAAACATGCATTGATCCGCGGGATACTGGTCCTCCCTGAGCGACGCGGAGGAGAGCGAGCTGGCATCCGTCTCGCTGGTGTAGCGTTGGTCTGCAAGTTCTCCACGACTCTTGCTTTTTTTATTCTTCCCTCGCTTTCCCTGGGCTTGGGCATGATCAGGAGACGGATTCATTCCCAGAAGGCTGTTGAGGGTTGAGTGCCCACGGCCTACCGGCCCTACTCGATGCTCAGGCATATGTTCTCTCTCTGTCAGCAAGCCGAAGTGGACGCCTGCAGAAGCAGGCATGGCCGGCACATTGCCCTCGATGGTAAGCTTCATTGATCTGCTGTCGCCGAAGAAGCTGACGACCCCCCAGCGAGTGGTCTTAGTCCATCCTTGGACAAAAAATATGTCCTCAAGAGAAATGTCAAGTCCAGGCTCTCGGTTTCTCGCGTCTGAGCCCGTCGCCCACTGGTGCCAGACGTCTATATTGTTCTTCATGTGTGTCTTCATTCGGCGGTCTTGATGCACCTCTTCGCGTATTCCGGGTGTGTCCAGGATAACCATGGCGCCATATTGGCTAGTGCACTCGCATTCGAACCCGAATTTGGCCCCGT